TGTGTGTCGGTGTGCTTCTGTGTCTGTGTCTGTGTCTGCGTGTCTCTGTGTGTGTGTGTGCATCTGTGTGTGTATGTGTGTGTGTGGGGGGGGGGGGGAACCCAAACTACAACGGGAGTGCTCGCTTGCAGTATATGCCTTACGTGACATCGTGGGCAACTTACAGCAGGGGATGCCTCCAGTCTGGCCACCACCTTTGTCGGTCCGGTTTTTGCATTCGGAACCAGCTGTCTATGGCCCAATCAATCATCGCTTTGCCATTGTGCTTCGTCGTAAGGTCCAACGTCTGTTTCTCATGCTGGGGCCGATGAAGACCATGACAAGCAGACGTGTAAACGTACCTGCGAAATCCTGCTAAGCGGAGTACCTGGGTGGCTGAGTCCGCAGCTGGTATCCTCAACGGGGACAGAACCCATATCCCTGTAACGTGTTACATGCTGCCGTCAGGATTGCACTTTGCAGACAGCAGCATATGCCATTCCTTGTGTCTGGCACGACGACGACGCAGGGACGGGATCCCAATCCCTCAACACATTCCATTCCTTGGGTCTGGAATGAGGGACCGAAACCTATCCCATCATTTGAGAGCTTGAAACCTAGCCCATGACGACGACTCTGCAATCTACTTAGGACTTGTTCTGTCTTAGTAAGCGGCAGCAAAGGAACCAAAGCCTGCAAAGCTTTTCATCTGCTTGATGCTCAGCTGAGTTCTTGAGCTCATTGCTGAGTTGAAATCACTCGTGAGAACTATCCACCAGGGTTTGCCTGGAGTTCGAGTGTGAATGGGCATGGCCTTCCGTCGCGGCGCCATTACCGCTGACCTCGAGGCAGTATGTCTTGAATGAAAGCCCCGAGTGGGACGAAGTGATCCTTGGCTAAGCTTCAACAGGCACAAAACACAACAGATCGGAAAGTCTCAATTGAATGTGAACGTCTTTTGAGCTGAAGTGCTTCTGACATGTGCGGAGACGCTAATCCTGAAGTTGAATCATGAAGCTGAACATGACAATTTTTTCGTTTCAGTTTATAGTCACTATAGTCCAACATCAGCAACCATAGAGATCAACATCCAAATCAAGAACGTCCAAAAGCCAGAGGATGTACTGAGTGCGTTTGCTGTACTCGGGCAAGGTGACCCGTCTCAGCACTTCGGAATTCCAGCAGGTGATCGGGCTCAGCACTTCGAAGTTCCAGCAGGTGATCGGGCTCAACACTTCGGAGTTCCGGCAGGTGATCAGGCTCAGCATTCCGAAGTTCCAGCAAGTGATCGGGTTCGGCTCAGCGCTTCGGTTCCACCGGGTGATCGGGCTCAGCACTTCGAAGTTCCAGCAGGTGATCGGGCTCAACACTTCGGAGTTCCGGCAGGTGATCAGGCTCAGCATTTCGAAGCTCCAGCAAGTGATCGGGTTCGGCTCAGCGCTTCGGTTCCACCGGGTGGTCGGGCTCAGCAGCTTGGCGTTGTGATCGGGCTCGGCACTTCGAAGTTCCAGCAGGCGATCGGGTTCAGCACTTCGAAGTTCCAGCAGGAAGCCTCCACATCGCGCTCAAGATCTCCGCAGCAAACATGGCGGTACTGTTTGACGACGCTCGACGGATTTCAGTGGCAGAAGAATTGGTTCCCGGTTACTCGGCAGTGGCTGTTTCAGCGCCTTCGAAAAGACCGTGAGCAAGCGAATCAAGCTGAGCTGGCGAGTGCTACATCGACCACGTCAGCTTCTACAGCTACGCAGCATCCACCAGAAGCTACTTCACCTATCAAGAAGAGGAAGCGTAGCCGCTCTCCCTAAATTGCGGGATGGCTACTTAGTATTTTGGCTGGGCCTCCGGTTGCTCAGCCTGCACCGATGAGAGCAACTTGAACGCCATAGGCGGCCAGGAAACGATCCAAAAACCTTTCCCTCAACGAGGTGCGTGTGTGCCTGTGTGTGTGTGTGGGGGAATCCAAGCTGCAACGGGAGTGGTCGCTTGCAGTACATGCCTTACGTGACATCGTGGCGCAACTTACAGGATGCCTCCAGTCTGGCCATCACCTTTGTCGGTCCGGTTTTTAATTTTGCATCCGGCACCAGCTGTCTATGGCCCAGTGAGTGTGACAGACAATCATCGCTTTGCCATTGTTCTTCGTCGTAAGGTCCAACGTCTGTTTCTCATGCTGGGGCCGATGAAGACCATGACAAGCAGACGTGTAAACGTACCTGCTAAATCCTTCTAAGCGGAGTACCTGGGTGGCTGAGTCCGCAGCTGGTATCCTCAACGGGGACAGAACCCATATCCCTGTAACTTGTTACATGCTGCCGTCAGCATTGCACTTCGCAGACAGCAGCATATGCCATTCCTTGGGTCTGGCACGACGACGACGCAGAGGGACGGGACCCTAATCCCTCAACACCTTCCATTCCTTGGGTCTGGAATGAGGGACCGAAACCTATCCCATTTGAGGGCTTGACACCTAGCCCATGACTCAATGACGACGACTCTGCAATCTACTTAGGATTTGTTCTTTCTTAATAAGCGGCAGCAAGGGAACCAAAGCCTATTTAGAGACGTCCTGCAAAGCTTTTCATCTGTTTGATGTCTCAGCTGAGTTCTTGATCTCCTTGAAATCCTTCGTGCGAACTATCCACCAGGGTTTGCCTGGAGTTCGAGTGTGTGTCTGTGTGTGCGCGTGAACTTCCTTAGCGCATGGGAAAAGAGGGTGACTCCGACAGTGGTTTTACCTAAGTTTTAACAGCGCACGGGCCTCTGGGAGCCTAACTGGGACCAGAGCCAACGAAAACGCTCAGTTAGTGCTTGTGAAGCAAGGATGGACGCATCCTTGTGCACCTGCCAAGTGGTGAAGAACATAATTAAACAAGCGTCTAGAATCTTCGCTGTGCATTGATGATCCTCGCTGTTGTTTCCAAGACAGTTTACAGCAGCCGTCGCTGTTCAACAACCCCGCCCCACCCCTCTTCTCTGCTTGCCTCTTGCTCTTGCCGAAATCCCGCGAGTGTGGAACATAGGGTCCCGGAGAGCCGTTAACAGCGGCTGTCCGGCCCTTCGGGGTAGCTGGCCAAGATCCAGATATTGGGTTGACTCTTTGGGCTGAATGAATGAGTGAATGTCGGCATGCGCAGCATCATGTTCGTTTGTGCTGTTGGTTGTTAAGTCAATGCGGCTAGGCTCATGTGTGACGAAACGGCAATGCGGCGGTGGTCCACTCGCGCGGGGTTACCCTGATGCGAATGTGCGTGCACACGCAGGGGAATTGGGAGTGCAAGAGCATGTACAGTCATGTCTGAGGCATTTTACATCAAGAACATGCGGCAAAGATTCTGGCAGCTCACATGCAGTTCGAGTTTTGCCTACGTTGTACTCAAGGAGCCCGCTGCAAATACTCTGGCAGCTCAGGTGCAGCCCATGTTTCAGCTTTCTTTGCATACATGTGTCCCTGCCAATAGTCCGGCAACCCAAATGTAGTGTCTGATATAACTGATGTGACTGCAAGTGACTGTGATCAACAACAACAGCTTGCTACCCCTTCATAGGGGCGCTTGCGTGTCTGTGAAGCCCTGTTACCAGGGGTCACAGAATTAAAGACCGCAGGGGGCCATCCCTGTTGTCGTTGGGGGATGGCCAACGACAAGAGCTGAAAACGGACCCTGCACCTGCACTAAGATTTGCACGAGATCAGATTGCAGAGCAAGTGAAGATGTTGAAGAAATTCGAGGCGATGTAACTAGCTTGCCAAACCCACAACCCATGAGGCGTGTCTCTTCTGCTTCTGCGTGTCTGTTGGCTGGCCGGCGCTGTCCGTCTATCCGGCTGTCCGGCTATCCGGCTGTCCGGCTGTCCGGTTGGCTGCCTGCCTGTCTGCCTGCCCGGGCCTGCCCGCCTGCCTGCCTGGCTGCCTGGCTGTCTGTCTGTCTGTCTCCCTGCTCGTCTGTCTCTCCTGTCTGCCTGTCTACCTGTCTGTCAGTCTGCCGGCCTGCCCGTCTGTCTTATTGTTAGGGCCGTCTGGGTTTGCTCGTGGGCGTATGCGTAAGCTGGTAAGGCTCAAACAAATGACTACAAGGAAGACAGCGGGCGTCCACCATTTCGGAGCATGCCTAGCCTGGGCCAGCCAGTCGTGGATTTCAATCTTTAGGTTGTCGCTATCCGCGGAGCTCAAGTGGAGGAAGGCCTGCCAATATTCAGCACCAGAGTTAATTCTCGGAAAGCTAGAAGGCCAAGGCCATGGCTTTCTTCAATGTGGCGATCGAGGAGTCGAAATCGGCCATTCGATTCTTGACCAACGCCAGGATGAACAGAAAATGCGGGTGATTCCTGGGTAGTTTAGGCAGGAAGAACAGCAGTTGCAATTCTGTTGCTGTCACACTCCTTTTCCGCCACGATCAGCCCCTGTACTGCTCCTGTCTTGGTCTTGCTTCTGTTGTGGTATATGCGGTTCACTGAATGACCCGCTTGGATTTGGTACATTCGGTATCTGAAGGTCCCGGTGTATGATGTAGGTTTGCATGGGGCATCTGTGCGTGATCTGTCCGTGCGGGCCCACCGTGTGCCACGGCATGCGAATGCTCTGCTTGCAGGGCTTGCAGTGCCTTTTCTGTCGTGGGTAGGCGTTGACGTGACATGAGCGGATTGGATATGATGTGTGTGTGTGTGTGCTGGCATCGTGCCAAGAATGCCAAGACGTTTCGGGCCAGGCGCCGGTCTCGCATCCCCGTCTTGTATACACATTGCACGTCAAATCTGCGTCCGCATTCGGCTTGGGGGGCGACGGCTTCAGTGCGAGACCAAGCCGAGCTTGCTTCTCTGCCTAAAGATCAGGCTGTGCCCAAACTGTACAGTTCAAAGAGGATCCTGCCTCCTCATATTCGTCCAGTGACACGTATGACTTTGCCAACAGGTACCTCCCGCTCTGCTAGCGACCACACGGAAGGTGGTGGCTTACAGGGGCACAAGGCTCCAGTCTTGTAGTCTGTTGCACAATTTGTCTCCACCAGCCTCGCGACGAAAAGTATTAGCATCAGTGGGCTGCACAAGCCATTAAACCCCTCTTGTTAAAGATGCACCATTCCAGTGGCCTGGACAAATAGAACTGACACTCTGCATGACGGTGCTGTCGGTAAAGGATGTCACCTCGACAGAAGAGGATGACAGTGACACTTACAGGCCGAAACACACAGCGCAACAAGAGCCCCACCGAGGTAGTAGAGTGGGCCTTCGGCAGTCTGGTTCACCTTGATGCATGCACTCATTCCTGTAGCTTGAGGTTTGAGGCAACGCTACAATGCTCCCGCGACCTTCAAACACTGCTGGTAAAATTGGATAGCCTGCACGCACAGCCACTGGAAGCTCTTGCCGCTATCCCTGTGTGCTCGGACTTGCGATGTGCCTGATCGAGTTGATTTCCTTTCCGAGCGCAAAACGCAGCACCCTCCAGCGCCTGAGCAGGTGAACTTGAAGGCTGCTAGACACTGACCACAGGATGCCTCCGAGTTGGACGGGCTGATGTGTAGCACCTTCCAGGCAGGCTCTGATCTCTTCCAAAGGGCTGGGCGCTGGGAAGAGCAACCTGCTCATAGAGCTTTCGCGCTTCTTCCAAGTTGCTTTCTCGAGATTCCTGGCGTGTCCACTCTGACAGCAGTCAAGAAAGGGTTGGGCTTCGCGGCACCTGTCGATGGCAATGCGCCAGCTTGAGCAGCGCCATGAGGTTTCTTGGCTCAAGCTGGATGACCTGCCCGTTGCCGACCCGTCGGGGACGCTCAAAGGCGGACTGGAAACCCCGCGGGTCCGTGCCGGCGCCTGACTGAGCTGCTCCCGGGCTTCCCGCACCCGATCTTCCGACAGCAGCAGAGCCGCATACCTCGCGATGCCGGTGTTGGACATGTCTCGACTCGCGCGCGCGACTCGCACTGGGGCACGAAGTCTGCGTGGCCGGTGTTGCAGCGCCAAGCTGCACCTTGCACAAGTCTGTACTGGTTCAGCACCGTCCAATGTGTATCCGACAACTGGGTGCATTGCAAGCCGGCGGTGACAGTAGTACTGCCCCTTCGAGTCTTTGAGCTGCTCGTAGATTGAGAGAAGTTGTCGAAAAATCTGCAACGTGGTGGGCAAGCAGCGAAGAATTGGGAGCTGGCGTTTTGCGTGCATTGCCTCTGCATCATCCGGGTGTTCACGGACCGCGCTTTCCAGTGTTTGCTGTGCATCCTTTGGAGGCACTCTGACTAGCTTGCAGATGCTTGCAGTACCAGACTCTACGGCCTTCCAAGAGTTGATTGCGATCTGCACCGCCGCCATCTGGCCAACATGCGGGCTCGAACATTCAGCTATCGTCTCGAGATCTTCTTGCCTGCAGATAGATGCTTCGACAGTCAACTGTGGTCGGCCTGCACCTCAGCATGCAATCTGCGCCAAAGTACGAATCTGTTGGACTCAGTGAAATTATGTGAAAATGTTCGCTTGTCCGCGATGCTGAAAGGCCGTAAGGGTCAAGCTGCAAGGCTGTGCGAAAGTAGTGCAACGCCTCCACGGCGACATGCACATGACAAGTGACATGCATTGAATGCAAAGATCGTGAGGCCTGGCTTGCCCCGTTGACCCCTCTGTCGGCGTGGATGTTCGCCAAACCTCTTCTACACTCTGCTGGATGGCTCCACTGGGCAGGCGACAGGCACTGCACGACACAGTGGACGGTTTTGGATGGTGGCCAAAGTGGTGCATGGTGTTAGGTCAAAATTTCTCTCCAATGTCCTAATATGTCTCAATCTTCACACAATTCATAATTGCTTCATAGTTGTTCGCAGTTTCCTAATGTCTTACGGATTCCTCCGCGCACCCCGCGGCCAGGCCCACCCCCCTCCAGATAGAAAAGTGGAGAAAAGATGAACGCATGAAAGCAATGTGACTTCTGGCTGGGGGTCCGGAAACTTAGCGTCAGGTGAAAGTCTGTGACTTTCACAATGTTTAGTAACTATACTTGTCATAGTGCTGTTCATAGTTCTTGTCTTTTGCATGGGCGGCAAGGATAGGCTCACAGATTTCTCTTGACGATAACACTCAATCTTACGGCGACAGGGTTGACTGTTGGTGGGTTGCAGGAAACCTACAGTCCATCCAACGCCACATAGCATATCCAAACATGTTTACGGCGAGGCCAGGGGAACAAAAGCTAGGCTAGGCTGGAGGGACGGCAAGCGATACAGAGCCGGCTAGGCGGGCTCCAGCTAAGCATCATCACACCCAACCACATTAGCAGCGGAAGGCAAACAGAGCTGACGAGGCGGGCAATCAGCAAGGGAAGGGAAACAAAGCTGGCGAGGCGGGCTCCAGGCATTCTCACATGCAACCAGAAACACATCAGCAACTTGTGGGGGAAACAGAAATGGCATCATCACCTCCGGCACAGCCTACCATATCAACAACACAGGGAGAGGGGTGGCAGGGGGCGGCGGGGAGGGAGGGGGGCGGGGGAGGGGGGCCTGCTATGATCGATATATCAATTATTATGCATTTTCACTTTCATATCAATTCTTGTGCGTCTGGGCCGGCGGGCCCGGGCCCACTGCTTGCACAGGAAGCCTCGCTGCGCTAGCCTTCGCTCTGCTAGCCTTGGCGTCTTGGTCCACACCTTGAAGAATGCATTTACGTAGTCTTCATGTGTGACCCGCTGCCCACACACACTTGCGACCCACGTACAGAGTGTTGATCTGTGTGATGAAAAGCAACGGGACAACTTCGCAGCTATAGTAGCAGTAATACTACTAGTAGCAGCAGCAGTAGTAATAGAGTAGTACTCGTCGTTGTCGTCCTCGTCTTCGTAGTAAGAATAATTCCATCTAACACTACTCAGCTCATCATTGTAGCAAAAGTAACGTGTGCTAGCAACAGAGTAAAGATCGTCGTCGTCGGCGAAGTGGGCGTAGTGCGTGCACACTGTTGGGTGCCTCTGGAACATTACCTGCTACAGCGTTTAGAAAACCATCTGTGTTGCCTACCCGGTTGGTGAAACATAGCGGGCGGGTAGCGAGCACGCACGACTGATCCTTGACAATACGCTTGAAACCGTTGAAGCCATCCTCTTGTCGATCTTGTCGAGCGCAACCGGAAACCAGAGGTAATGAGAGCAATCGCACATCCAACAGCATCGCATAGAAGAACTCGGTCTCAATGAACTGCTCTTTCATGATTTTGCCGCTGATGAGACGGGCTGGGATGAAAGGACCTATGATGGAGAGCTCAAAGGAGTAACTACACCGACACGACCTTGTTTGATTCGTTCGACATGTTCTGCAACTCCTCTTTTTCGACCCTCATGGACTCCCGCCCATGTGCTTGGCTGACTGCTCCGGTCGGCATCGCTCGCCATCGGTCACGATCCTGCAAGCCTCGTCCTCCGAACTTCCTGCCGGTTGTCGTTCACCTCCTCGCTGATCAAGTTTGTTGGTTCCTTATCCGGTGAAACTTCATGAAGGAGTACCGAGTACCGCCTGACAAGTCCGACATCGTCGTGTCCGGATTTTCCTGTTGATTGGAAGCCGTGTTGCTCAGAAATGGCCGGGCACTTTGGCGGAAGCTTCCGTCATGTCCCTCAGAGCCAGCACTAGCAAGGGGAAGCTGAAACATGAGGTGCAGCTGCCCTCGCCGAACAACACATAGGGGGAAGACATCCTTTGCGAGCTCTGATGAAATCCTCCTCCAGCACCAAACGCTGAAGGATCGTCTCGTCCTGCCTTTCGGCAAAGACGACCTTGGTCTCCTAGGCGAGCTCTGCCACCCTGAAAATGGCGCGCGCACACACACACACACACGCACGCGCGCGCGCGCAGGCGGACACGCATCGAAAAGATCCATTGATTTACAGCTGCAGTGTCGATGATAGCAATCGGCAACCTTCGTTGAGCAAGGTGCAAGGTTCCTGAAGTTGGGCTTTCTCCTGCTGCGCATTGCGCCCAGGAGATTGGGCTTTCGTCCCTATCGAGGGGCTCAGACCCCGGGAGAAGAGGAGAGAGCAAAAGCGTTTTCGTGATTTTTCGTGATCCTGAGAGGTTCCACCAGGCCCCTTGCAGTGCAGATGTTCCTACACACGCACACAGCTGAGATCTCGAGCCCGCCCTCCAGACGATTGAAAACTGGATGGATGCAGCTGGCACTTGCAGCTGGCTATGCAAACAGCGCGGAAGCTGGCGATTCTCACGCGTTGTCCTGTTCGCCCTTGTCTTCAGTGCCTCCTGTGCAGCCCCCCTCAGTGACGATCGTAGTAGAGCTACTGAAGAATCTGCAGAAAAGCGGCTCAAAGTGCACTCGTAATCACCAGGCCGCATATCGAGCACCCGCTTGTAGTAAGTAATTGCCTCCTCGGGGCACGCTGGAATGGCTGCCCCGGCAACACGAGTCGAGAAGCCGCCTCATCTCGACCGGCTTTTCGGTAGAGGGATGCCTGTTGGTGAATGAGCCGTGCCGCCAGCGGTTTGCAGACAACCGCTTCTCTGCCAGGTGACCAGAGCTACCATGGCTGGGATGTCGAGTGCATTTGGCTGCAGCACGGCTGCCTGCACTCAGCAAGTTGACCCAGGCCCGAAGTCAAAAGACAACAAAGCTGCTCCTGCTCGAAAGAGCGAGCTGCCTCATCTGCCCTTGCCAGTTTAGTAGTCTAATTGCAGAATCCAGCATAGGCGCTCCTCCTGCCTTCCCAGCTTCAGGCTTGCGTACCCCAGGCACAAATGAGCTGAAACATCCCTCGGTGCGAGCTTGGCTGCCTGCGCTGGGCTCATTCCTACGAAACCACGGCGGCCAGGAGTCACACGAGCCAGGCCTGTGCAGCCAGCCGATAAGCTTCAAGAGCGTCATCGGCCTCGTGCCAAAGGCAAGAAAGAGATCACGAGCCGCTGGCGGAGGTGAGATCTGAGCCTCAAGGTGAAGTTCGGCCAGGCGCCTGTGCCCTTCGGCACTGTCCGGATGCCTCGACACAACCTCAAGAGCTTCCCGGAACCGTGCCAGGCGCACGAATGCGCATATATGCGCAGCATCCCCCTCTGCCTCTTCGTAGAGTCGCCGCGCCTCCGCAGCCACATCGCAACAGACGACCACGTCCCAAGCCCCAGTCCCAGAGCCCTTGGAACGAAGAGCTCTTGCCTGTGCCTTGCCGTCTTTCCCCACGCGGGCGAGACCCAGCATGGCTGCCTCGTCACCGGCCTCTTTTCCAAAACCCAAATTGCTTCCCCCAGAAAATCCTAAGTCTTTTGGCTCGCTCCTTGCAGGCCAGAGCTGCAGAGTAATGCTTTTCAGCCAGGGAAGAGGACCGCTCCGCCTTCAAAGCCCGGCGATGTCTTGAGTCTTGATTTCTGAGATTTCGAAATTGCAAAGCCAAGCCTCTGCCAGCTTGCCCAAGTATGCGTGTAGCTCGTAGCCAAGAGTAAATCCTGAAGCCTGGCGCTCACAGGGCACGAGTGACGGTTCCGGGACGTTGCAGGACATGGCCATGAAGACCTGCCTCGTCACCATATTCAGCGGCCTGTCGTGCATACCTGGCCGTGCTGCAGTCGGCGGCGCACTCACCGATCCTACTTTGCGACTCCGCTGGCAGCACTCCCGGATCTCTGCGGCATCGCCGTCTATTGACCTCGGCAGAAGACGGAAACTGACAGGGCCAACATGAAGCTTGAGCTGGGCTGTGCGCAAGAGAGCCCTTGCTGCGCACCGCAAAGCAATAGCCTTGCGAAAGGTGAGCGCTCATGCCTGTATTCCCTATACCTGGCATCGCCTAATTTAACCAACTCTGCTACCAGCTACCAGTAGATGCATGCTTGCATAAACGGGCATTAAGAAGATTAAGAAGTGACCAAGGCATCTGCATCATCAGGTTTTCGCCGAAGAGTGGCCCGAGCGTTCATCAAGACCTTCATACACAGAAAATGCTTTACCGGTGCAGCGCCGCACACCCGACTGGAAAAATTTGACGACCTCCCTCCAGTGCTGTTCCGCAGAGCCGGCCAGGCCTGAAAGCAGAGACTCTGGAACCTCTACTGTCACAGGATTTCCGATCCTCGAAAGACAATTCAAGGCAGCGCTTCTTGCCTGCTGCTCGCTCAGCACGACGAAGCTGCCTCTCTAGATCCTCATGCCAGCACGGTTTACTGGTATGTCAGTGCTGGACCATTTGCAAGCCTGCCTCGGTGTCAGTAGGCCCACCTGCAGCAAGTGTGGCAGGAATCCTGAATCCTGACGGAACAGCGAAAAGGACGGCGACCTTGTGGATGGCAGCTGCTATCTTTGGCAACATCAGTCCTGCGAAGCTTGAAGACGGATTGGCAGACTGCTTACAGCTCCACAGTTACACAGCATTGCGCAGACGCACTCTGCACAACTTCATTGCGATTTTTGCACAGCACGCAATCGTCTGTGCAACTCTGCCGAGTCATCCCCCAACCATGACCGACTCATCCCCACTACGCGCATGTCACAGACCCATTCTGCAAGCGTTGGATTTTGCATCCAAGACGCTCGACTTTGAATCTGTGTGCACCTGCCCTCACCCGACAACTATGAACACTGTGCAGGAGATGCAGCAAGCTTGGCAGCTGTAAGAAAGTGAATTCTTACTTGTACTCACTCTCAGCGGAATCCACCAGGACCGGCTGCCGTACCGTAGAGGCTATTACCACCTGCTCCACCATACAGGCCTCAGCGCACATGCTTGGAGGCTCGGAGTGACTTGCAAAAGATTCCGCAATTAAATTAATGTCAAAACTTAAACTACGGTCCAATTCAGGCATAGTCGGCATAGTGGTCAGAAGGAACTGAATTCAGTCTAGAGTCTGCCTTGTGCTCCTCCCGGCAGTGGCATGTTTCCTGAAGGCTGGTACTGTCCACCTGGTCCACTCTCCCCGACGAACGAATCTCACAGAGCTCCGAAAGGACTTAAACATCGTCGCCTTGGAAAGGAGATGTTCTGGGTTGTGCAGCTGATCCACCTGGCGGAGGCTGGAGATACAAGTAGAACACTATACTTTCAGCTTCACAACACGATGGAAGCAATAGCATGTGCACATCCGCCATGGCTGGGGAGCTTTGACAGTTGTGGAGTTCAGATTCGGATATCGGGCGGGCCTGCAACGATTCGCAAGCTGCAGATCTTCTTCCATTCTGTTGGATTTAGCCAAAGATAGCGAAAGGGTGCGGAGGCGACATGCCTTCAATCCGTCCAGCCAAGACTCAGCCACAATGGGGTGGGTATGGGCTATAGGCTATAGGCTATAGGGCCTATAAGGTGCAACAGAAACCCGAAGCGAGATCACCGCAATCCTGGTATGGAACCCCGAAAACTCGTGAAACCCGTGATCGTGCAGAAACCAGCTCGGGACTGTGACCCGAATTTTTCTCGAACATTCTCTGTTCTCGGATTCTGTCGTGGACGCGCGGCGCGCATCCCACCCCTGCGCATGTCATTCGCCGTGGTCCACTACTCATACCTCGGCTTGCCGGGTGAATCGAAAGACCAGGCACGCTGCCAATGTACTTGCAAATTTGTTGCGTGTGTGTGAGTGAGTGTGAGAGAGAGAGAGAGCCGCATCCGGCGAAAACTTGTTCCTTTAGTTGTGTTCTGGTTGAATAACGGTTTATGGAGGCGCTGCGGTTGCAGAATCTCTTCAAGTTATATACAGTACTGAAACAGATCAACCAAAACGCTGCTCAAGCATTCGTCGCTCAACACTTTTGCTACCACGGTTTGCAGTGCGAGAAAATCACTTTGAAGGAAAGGCGCGATCAGCCTTGGGGGCTAGCGGATTCGTTTCCTTGAATTGGCGCAGCTATGAGCATATCGACCAGTCAAAACGTTGCAACTCCATGATGGAGCGATGATTCAATGTATAGTAATTACCAATCCATGCCGTCGCTGGTGCTGGAGATGCTGTTGTAAAATGAACGGTCTGTCTTAGCATGTGCATGACTGCTAGGTCTGGAGTCCAGTCTAGAACACACGCGAAAGCAGAATTCGGGTTTGTTGAACTTGCCATATCTTGCCTGAAAACGGCTTGCAGCCGATGCTTAAGCTGAAGCAGGACTCGCAGCATCGCCACACCAGTTGTGCAGCCAGACGTGAGCAGAAACGATCACAGGCATACCGCTGGCTGCGAGAACTTTCCTGGCTTCTCTTTCTACGCTAATAGGATCGGCAAGAGCAGATTGCGTGACGTGCGAGTGCCGCCTTGCACACCTCCGTAACCCATATGCATCTGTGGCTGGGGTGTCTGCATCTGCATTGGTTGGTGTTGGAGGAGAGGCTGCGCGTTCATCTGCGGTTGCTGATATCCTGGCTGGCCAGACATCATCTGTGCCGTCTGGGTCGTCCTTGGAGGGAAAGTGCCCATTGGAGCTGCCGATCCGGCAACAGGTTGGTGAAAGGTCGATGCAGCTGGCAGCGTATTCGCTTGCTGCATTCCTGCGAACTGTGGCGTCTGTGCCGAAGGGAATTGCTGTGTGCCAGTGCCAGCGCCTCGTTCAAGATTGCATCAGCCTAATCAGTCTTTTGCACGCACAGGGTATGCTGAGCTTCTGGCCCTGCGCATACCTGGCCGTAATGGTTTATGATTCTATGAAATTGTTATGATGAGAAAACGACAGGGTCCACTAAAACTGTACAAGATGCGCCTGTTCGCAGCTCCACCGACCTGCCATGTGCATTCAGGACATGTCATATGCGGTCTTGGCCTGAGTCTTTGCACGGAGCTGCATTCCGTCACCCCGCGTTTACTCTGCCAGGAGAGCTGGGAGATGCAATAGTTCCTTCTGGAACGACTACCACCTGCTACCAGTAGGTCGCGGCTTGCCCTGGACCTGCTACTCTAGCCATCTCTAGCCAGCCAAGACACAAGACACGCTCTCGCCCCGACCAAGAGGGGCGAGGGCGATCAACGAGCCTACAGGGCTTACAGTATGTGACTGGTCTGGAGCTCTCGGGGTGGATTGCCACCCACGGCGCGAAGCCAAAAAATTCCGGTGTGTTTCGAGACCCATCAAGGTGGTTGTCACACCCATCGGATGTCTTCATCGCCCGCTCTTGTTCTCCTGATCTCAGGGTGTCGGACCAGACATGAACGGGTGCTTGTCAAGCGCAGCCGGGCTCTAACCGTCGTTGTAGCTGCGGCACGACTCCACGGTGGTTGTATCGGCATGGGGGTCTTTCTTTCGCCAGGGCTATGGTGCAGGAGGGTTGTGGCCTTCTGGCTCTCGCTTTTCTTCTTCCACGCAGCCAAAGGGGAGCACGCAAGCCCCCTCGAAATGCGCCCTGGTCTCCGACGTCAATATGCGAAAACGCAAGAGGTGAGGCTGGCGGTCTGTCAACCGGCGAAAGCTCTTCTTCTGCACAGCCCGGCGAAAGCTCTCTCTCCTCAGACTCCCCTTCAAGCCCACCTGCCATGTTTACGGCACCAAGGCGGGCCGTAACGGTAAACGGCTAAAGCCCTCAAGTGTACGCAGCCCTCATGCCATCATCGGCTTCACGCTGACGGGAGAAATATACCCCCTCTCTGCTTCTGCACAAGCAGAAAGGCGGGGCGCCAAAAAAACTAGTCCGTGCACTAGTCCTTGCTCGGTGAGAGAATCCGCAGTGGAGGTGCGTGGACGGGGCTAATTATGATTAGATGCTTCCTGAATCTCCCTGTGCGCGCGAGTAATTATACTGGTCTCGGTAACACGATGCCCAAACCCAATCTACTGCCCCCACTCCGGCTCCACACTGACCCGACCGTCCGTGTCAATCCCCGCGGCTGGGGAGCTAGGGTAACACAAGGGGTCCAGCAAGAACGTGCCTGCTAAAGCTTATTGACTCGGGCAGGTCTTCCAAAGCGGGCACCTAACTCGTAAGTTTCGCAACCCGCATTGAACCCGTCCGCCAAATCCATTCAAACTAGAGGCTTCGCCCCTGGTCCCCAAGCATGTAGAGCGTCTTGAAAGGAACAAGTATTAGTGTCACAGAAGGGTGTGGGCTTCGAGTTCGTCTAACTACAAGGAACTAAGGGTATCACGCACCAGCTGTCAGGTAGTCCCGGTTCGCCGTGAGTTTTTGGCAAGACAGGCCTCGAAAGGCCTCTAGACTTCGAAAGGGTAGAAGACCTTAGTACCTCTCTCCCCGTCAATCAAGAAGCGTCACGATCAGACCCGCCGAGGTCGGGATGCTGTAATGGCTCAGGAGCCCCCCCCCCGTTCGCAGGCGCGGATCTAGTTTACGTTAAAGTACTTTGAAGTAGTGGCATTGATCCGCCCCAGGGCACGGCAAAGAACCAGGTTTGAGGGCGAGCCCCTGTGGGGGACGCCTGTCGGTTGGAGGGATGCTAGATTGTTTTGCCGTAGCATAAGCCCCGACATCTTGGGGACGGGCCGCGAAACAGGCTGCAAAGCTTGAATGCCACCTACAATGACATACATCTGCATGAAGACTTCGAGTGCACGGTCCCAGGATTCCTTACTGAGGGGCTTGGCTGGCAGGTGTTCTGCCCCTTTCTGAACTCAGCCATCGCCGCGTCTCACTTCACTTCCTTACACTTCGGGGCATAGGGGACTGTCAAGGTCCCTCGAGCCGATTGGCTCACCCCTGTGTGGAGGCTTTGTGGGAGGGCGTGAAAAAACAACCCAGATAAAAAACCTCGGGCTGTAAGAAGGAGTGGTTGCAAGGTATAGTATAGGGGCCATAAAAACTGATAATTAGGCGTGTCTGTCTTGCCGTCTTTCTTTCTTTCGGCAGGGCTATGGGTGGGGGAAGCTCCCCCACCCGCGCGCGCTCAGGCGCCCCCGACCGTTGCAGGGACGTAGAGTGAAATGCATACGCTCAACAAAGGCCAATACCGCCAGTTAGACGGCAAGTTCATGATACAACAAGGAAAACTACGTCGAACGACTCACATCTGAAATCCAGCGGTATTGCTTTGGGGATGCCCCCTGTTTGGATGACTTTGGAGCTGCCCACATAGGAGGCAAAAATGAGAAGAAGCTATGGTAACGTAAACAGGCAAAAACCATTGGTCACTGGGCTAGGTCATCCTTCAGGCATCGAGCGTGTGTTTAGACTACTAGTCTTGCCGTCTCTCTCCCGCTCTCTCTCTCCCTCTCTATGCTTTGCCTTGCCCAGGGGCTTTCTCACTTGCATTCAGAGTCTCTTGGCTGGCTAGCCCAATTCAACTTGTACTTTGTCCCAGCACAAGGTCGCTGTGCACCACCGACCTGTTGAGCATTCATCGGCGGCTGCATCGATGCTGGCATCGAAGACATGGGCGAGCTGCGGTTGGCCTGACCTGACGGCCGAGTCCGATCACGATGGCATGCCAGAAAGCATGTTCAGCGACAGGATGTTTTATGCCAGCCTGAAGCCACTCCAGACTTTACCAACTTTCCGACCACGCTCAAGTGAACATGGGCGACCTGCAGCTTGGCGTGCGAGTTCATACTTCGATGCGGCATGCTCGAGCCTCGATGGTGTGATGGGCAATTTCGTTGGCGGACTCGACTTTAACAATGCGGTGCGCCGTGATGCCCTCCTATATGAAAGGACTCCAGATACGAATCAGCCTGATCCTGATGCGCTGTTGCAACACGCGAGTCCTGCTGGTCCCACTGCCTGAGATGGCCGAAGACGCCTTGCCGTGGGAGTTAGGACTAGGGGGACCCCTGGGGATTTATGGTGCAGGGGGAAGTGCGGCACCCCCAATCCGCGCAGCAGCAGGGGCAGGGCAGAGGGGGAGGTACCAATAGGGGGTGGGGATACCACCGTCGGGAGGGGAGCGGGCGAAATTCCTCGCAGCCCTCTGTTGAGAGCGGTCTGAACTGCTGGTTGATTTCATCCTAAGCATAAGCTTCCGCGAAGAGTTGCGACAATCCTCTTCGGGGCCCGGGACCCGACGGCATCAAGAAGGTCGGTTTTCAAGCGAGCCAGAAGTAGGGTTCAGAAGGGTGTCCCCTTTAAGGGGTCTCCCTAATATACCTAGGATTACCGCCAGAGTGAACAAACAGCCTCCTGGAAAAAGCATTGCTTTGTAACCAGGCCACGGATGTAGTCTCCATCCTGAAACTCGGGACCTGATGATGCCTCGGACGGTCGGACGTTCCAAGGCGCTAAGGCCGGGTCACGCGGATTCATAGCTGAGGCGCAGAATCGCTGTCGGAATACATGTTGCAGCTAATTCTGCCAGTGCCATCCTTGCAAGCAAGCCAATTGCTGAAGTACCAGCATCCTTTCAAGCTGAGAAGCTGGCATTGAGAGTCAAGCAGATGCTCATCTGCTGGTTCTTGATGCTCTCCACCTGCAGCATTCCACACAAGCTTCTTGTTCCTCGAATCAACGGGTAGCTGACGCCATAGATGAGAGCAGCACACAGGCTACGACCGACAACATCTGGAGCTCTCTGCCACCGTTTACTCCTCGATACTGAAAGGAGGAAAAAGCCGTGCAGGAAGTATCAGTGATCAGTATCAGTGTCAACCCTTCGTGTTTCGCTTCTCAACTCGTCGTGCCGCTGTGCGTTGAAACTATGGCTCACACGGAATGCGCCGTCTGGGCCCAGCTGGCCACTTGAACTCACCTTTCCATGCAGGCCACTGTAGTTGAGCTAGAATGTTTTCATCCGAGGCTACAAAAATGGATACAGGTTCTACCTCCACATTCCAAACTAGGGGGACTCCGAATTTTTTTAAACGCAGCACAGGCAAGGTTCAGAGTAATCAAATCATTTCTGAACTGAAGGTGCCTCGAGCATTGTGGCTAGGGTTTCGGGCCTGTGCCGACTCATGGTAAGGACATTTGGGTCGCTGCTGTGGAAAAGCATGTTTGGTGTCCCAGCTCATGGTGCTTGCTTATGCAACTCACTTGCGACCGTGCTGGAAAACCTTGGTATGTAGTTTTCATGACGGCGAGTCGAAGTGGAGACTGCTGCCTGGACTGGCTAGATCAGTTTTGCTGCAAATTCCCCGCAACACATCTGGTGACTCAAGCTCAGCTAAACTGGCTGAACCACCCTATATCTGATCCAGATACTTGTACCAGCAGTACTAATGCGATATGTCCAAAGAACTCATGGAATTAAACAGTTGAGACCCACGCGGCATCAAGGAGCATGCGAATTGTGACGGGGGTCAAAGTCTGCGCCTTGTGCACCATCCCGAGTTCTGCCACTGACACTGTCTGCAAAACGGCTTGGGACCGGCACTGCTGTCTTTCCTGCGCCTGAATCCAGTAGGAACAAGATACTGAAGCCACAGAACTTTCTCTTCTGCCTCCATCCGGCTGCTCAGGGCGCGCTGAGCCGCCCTCAAAGCACTACAAAATGATGAGTATGAACGGGTGCCATGGGAGTGACAGCTTGTTCGTGAACTCTTTCAGTGCTTCGAGTGGGCATTGTCGCCAGGAATGAAGCCACCGAAGCCCTGAAAGCTGCAACACAAAGGAGACGTCAAGGTCGAAGGAATGCCGGCCTGCGACGCCTGCACACCACCGCAAGGCCCAGCCTGGTGCAGGCAGATCTCCGTCCAGAAATAGACACAACTCGCTCTCACTCGGTGAAGCCTCACCAGCAGCTTCCACTCGGCCGTATCCACCACCACCTCCACCTCCATAACCACCTCTGACAGGACCGGATTGTTTCCGTGCTGCCGTGAGCCCCGTGGCAAATGCAACAGAGGCATCGGTTACCCAACCTGGTGCACTAAAACAGCCTCCACCAAACATGCTCTCAAACCTGTCTCGCAGCACTTCACACCGGGACACGACTTGCACATAAAACGCATCAAACGGCCCACAAGTAGTTAGGCCTGGTTCCAGCACAGCGAACTACAACTCGTGCTTCTGCAAAATATGGTCTCGGCGATGCAATGTGATATGTTTCTGCCACGATCTTACTCGTGACGTGGCGTGGCGCGACATACGAGTTTACATTCACAACCGTCTTCCTAAGGCAAGCCCTTGATCCAAGTGCATGCGGGCAAGACCTTGGTGCACCTTACCAGTCTGACGAGGAGAGCACAAAATGTTCTGCAGAATGTCTCTTTGCTGAAGGTCCTCCACCTGTCCTTGACGGATACAGGCCTCGGGCGTGAGCTGCAGCTGCTCTTGTTCAGAATCTAGGCCGCAAGTCTGCATTGTCACTGCATTCCAAGAGCTTTTTGTCACCGCAGCGTGTGTCCGGGCTTCCCCTGAAAGCGTAGAACATTTTCCTGACACTAGGTGGCAAGGCCTTCGGGCCCGTGAAGCATTAGCACGATCCATACGCAGAAACATTCCTTTAGTCCACACTCCCGGTCGCGCCATCTCTTCTAATACTCTATCGGGGTCTAGCGGTGCGTGACATTTGTACCAGAAGGAATGTCTCGCGGCCCTGCAAAGCACACACACACACACACACGCACATTGGTCCCCGACGCTGGATCGGCTGTGTGAGGCAAGTTTACAACCACTGTTCTGAATCCAAACAAACATCTGTGTCTCATGCTCGTGGACTGGCCGCACACTTCCTTAAGTTGGACATTTGTCCTTCCCATTCACTCCAATGCTCCCCGGAGTGAAACCCCGGAAGTGTTCGACTTGAAAGCCGATGTTCCATGTGGCGTCTGAGTCTCTTCTGGGACGACCCCGTCCCAACCACCTGCTGCAGCCTAGCTTCAGCTGCCAGCCGGCTCAAGGATTGACTCACGCCTCAGCCAGCACTCTTGGAGAGTCTTTCCAAAGAGCCGCAGTCAAAACACCAAGCCCGGCTCTTGGTACCGCGTTTGCTCTCTTCACACCAAGCCTGCACTCAAGCCAAGAACTCTCCACCTCTGGACTGCCTTCCAAAGAAGGCGAGCGCCTCCCAGGATGTTCCTCTCACTACCGCGATGTCTTCGTAAGGCTTGTCCTTTTGCTACGCAAACTGCGCTGTGCTGCTCAAAAGCTGACCCATTTGCTAAAGCTCTCCTGCTTCAGTGACACTGCGCCGGTCATATGCAGGGACAGGAGATCAACAAAGCGGCATGCGGCAGCCTGATTCGCTTTCTGAACGGACCTGTCGCTCCGTCAACACCTGTCTGAGCACCTCTGCGCTGCAATGGTCCAAATCGCACAGGTCGAGAAAGGACAGCGTGGAATCCTTGACCAGCAGATGACAGCTGGAAGAAGCGATTCAAGCCATCCGCTTCCGATTTTGGCAACTGTCATGGCCTCGAGAAGTGATGTTCGAAGCTCCCTGCCCTGAAGCCACCAATTCGTCTGATAGCGGTGGCACAACTTGCGATGAAGGCAAGCTGGCCTGCTTCGCAGAGACCTTGTCAAAGTCCACCTCGACATCCTCCTCTACTTTGACCTTCTGTGGTACTAGGCTGAGAACATGCATACACTAGCCAGTCATGAACGTGGCAGATCCGTGCATCTGTTTGGAAACCGTGTCTGGACCATGTCTGAAAGTGCCTCGGCGAACTCCTGCGGCACCTTGATGGCAACGAGATCCCCACCTGTCGTGCTGGTTAGTGCTGCGCATGCTGAGTTGCCAAGGTGTCGAATCTGGCCGGGTTCTCCACTGTTCTGCTGAGCCTGTCGCTTTGCTGGCGGCAAGCTTGGGACCTGCTGACATGGTGAGGAACACTCCGATTCTGTTTATTTCGGGCCACTCTCAGAATGACAGCCGAGTGGCTGAGTGCATCTGAGGAAACACCATCCGCATCACACTCGTATACAATCGTCGCTGGCCTCTTCGTCGACGAGATTGTTGATTGGCTCGGTAGCCGGCACCTGTATCAAGGGAGGGCTGGAAGCTCAATTCAAATCGTTGAACAGGTTTAAAACTGCAGACACGCCAGCACATCTGCATGTCTTACAAAGATGCATGGGTGGCGAAGCTCGCGCACGGCAAGGCTCCGCACGCACACTGTACCCACCCTACTTCTCACTTGCACCAACTGTACTGCCAAGTCTGTGCACCATCTATCCCGCGGCCTCTTGCTAATTGCTTATGCTTCGCGCTGGCCTGTGTTTAAGTGTGCGTCTGTAATGTGTTTTTGTTTTTCCGGCGGCTTATTCACGTGTGTCATTATTTTTGACCGTCCTCCCCAATGCGATGCTTTTGGCCGGGAGGAGTTGGTTGGTTATGTTTGGTTTTGCTGTCTGCTATGGTCAATGATAACGACAGACCGGAGAAAGCGTATTGTGGCAGGCCGTCGATTGTGGTGAGTTAGGTAGTGCAGGATGAAGGAAGACCTAAACCCTGCTACTGTACTAGACTCGACTACTGTGCTACTACCGTCGCCCTCTACAGGGCCGGGCGGCACCAACCGTACACCCTTCTGAAGAGCTTCTCTCCCTGCAACACCCACACGCCTCTAAAGAGCTAATCTCCCCCTACCATTCAGGCCGCCGGGAAATGGTTAGGAGGGATCCCCCGCATGCCTTGCATTGTTTCAGTCAAGGTGGGCAAGCAGAAGCATGCGCACGACGTCACAGCGCTTTGGGGGCCTCTCCTTGCAGAGCCTCCGTGTTTGCATCCACATCCTGTCAAGGAAGAGCGCTAGCTCCCCATCTCACGTATCTCATGTGGTTTGTTCGGCTGTAGATGCAGTGTTCGATCGGCCTCGGGCATCTGCAGCGCAGGCTCGCCAGACTCTCGGGCCGCCTGACACTTCGAGGCCTTGACAGAGTTCACCAGTTTAACAGCGCCGGAACCTCTGGTCCCGGACTGGCATTCGCCGGCAGGTTCTGCTCAGATCCAAGCGCTGAACACTCCACATCACTTCAAGGACAATCTGGTTTGAATTTGCTTCCCAACCTTGGGGCTGCCAGGTACATCCACCGGAAGCTGCTCTGCCTCTGCCTTGGTACAAACTCTGCAGGCCGTCCATGGCGCCGCAAGGACTCTTGCAGCCGTGCAAGTCGTATGCCGCAGCATGCCGCGGTGTTTCGTCCCGTTGCGCACCCCATCAGGTCCAAGGTCCAGACTGGAGACACGGCACCTGCCTGAGGCGGACAGATGGGTATTCGTCGAGCAGCTACAGAGACAGGCCATCAATTCTAGCTGATTCTAGCTTCTTTTGATTCGAGCTGCCAGGCATGCAATGCAACCTCAACAATGCTCAAATCCTGCAAACTATGTACATGCGCCACATGCAGGGTGATCAAGAAGGAATCAGACTACTTACTACAGTTTGAACAGCAAATAACAGCAAAAGTCCGAAACGCCTCGGATGCCACTGGAGGTGGGGTCGCTGGCAAAGCTTCCGGCAGCAATGCCTGGCATCCGGCACTGCAAAAGGCTACGAAAAAGTCGTTCTGCATCTTGACAAGTTCCTTCTGCTGAGACATAGGCTGCCAAATCCGGACTGGGGGGTTTGGGCGTTCCAGACTCGATGTCCTCGGTCGGAGTCGGGCAAAAGATCATGCACGAAACAGCGGCAAGAAAATCAGGACTTAGTCGCATGGCCATGCTGATTGTCTCAACCACCACAGCCTGCGAGACAGTTTTGCCGAAGTCGTGACGATTGGTTGGCAATCTTGCACGAAGAATCCTGCTGTTTCCCTAAGGTTCTGCAAATTTGCTCAAGAACAAAATCGGACTGGTCACAGAAAGGCTGTGCGCATGCATCCGCCTGGCCAACCGCGACTTCTCCTTCTGGTGGCTCTAGCGGTGGTGCCTTCCGACAGGGCTTTGACACCGCCTGCATGCTGCCCTACATCCTATCACTGTTCTGATACAAAATTCGTACGGGGCCTCCTCTAGAAGTGTGGCTGAGCTTGGGGGCGCTAGCCTGCACAGCTGCAAAGCGCACTTAGCCTGCTACTGAGGCAATCGTACTGACAGGCCCGGGCGAGGCCAAAGGCGCCTTGGGCGGTGAAGGCAAGGTCGAGTCCTTCCCAAAAACACCCCACAAGGCGCCGCAAGGCATGAAATGTCATGCCGCAACCTGCAAGCCGCAAGCCTCGGCCTTGGCACGCCTCTGCCTGACCAGTCGCTCCGACTCCCCATGAGCAGATCACATTCCGCAACAGATCGCGGCCTTCCTCCGATGTCGGCCGCGCGTCGTAACCTGGACAGGGGCTTCGAGTCGCCAGATCACTCCGACCCTGCAAGGAACCCGAAGTCTCAGTCTGCAACGGCGCACAGAGCAGTGGGCCCAAGTCTGCAAAAAATGTGGTCAAGCCCACGGTGGGACTCCTGAGATCGCACTCTGCAAACAGACTTGCAAAGTTCAAGTAGTCCAATAAAAGAGCCAACGTCGACTTGCTGGCAATGCTCAGACCATCCCTAATGAAGACCGTAATGTTGTCGGGCAACTGCTTCCCTCTGCTGCTTTCACTGCACAACTGCGACTTCTACAAATTACTTCGAACAACAACTAATGGGGCATTGCTGCACTGGTGAATGCAGTCCGTCCTCTAAAGTACAGGAGATCTTCGTTATCAGTGCCGCTGTCTGCATGGGCTTCAGTGAATCATCAATCCCTGCTATGGCGTTACATGCCAACCGACCTGACCCGACCAGGTGGGCTCGACTGATACATGCTACCAAAATGGCCTGGACGACGATAGCACCTAGTCCTGTCCTACTCGGACACCTCCTCTTCTCCTTCTGCTGCTCCCTGCATGCTTCAACCCGCTGAATCCTTCTCCAGCAGCGCGGACCGCTGGCTCCGCGACGACGACCACCCCCACCAGCCCGAAAACTGGTGCCTTCTCTTCTACACGCACACAAGCATACGACAACGACTAGGACCAGGAGGTGACGAACGACCATAACGACGATGAGGACCCGACAGCTCGGTTGATGTTGCCCTAAGCTACTAGTAGCAAGTTCAGCCCATAACACCCTGGCCTTCCAAACACTCAGGCTCGTGCCTATGAGGCAGCAGCAGGCCATACTCATAAGGGCTGTCGTGCGTTATCTTTCTGGGCTCCCTGTACCTGCCAAGCACGCAGTGCCTCTGACCTGCTCACTTGCATTGCACGGAAGCTGGGGGCACTTCTTCTCTGGGATGACTGTGGCTTTCTCGTCGAGCCAAACCCTTTTTCGCCTCCTTTTCTGTCTTGGCTCTTGTGCCTCCTGGATCTCCTGCAGTGCCTGGCCGCTCGAAGCTCGCGAGCCGCTGAACAAATCGCAAAAAAAAACGCCTCTTCCTCGACCCTCGGCAGCAAGTCCAGGCATGCTTCATCGACCTGCTGCTTACGTCCTTAGGCGACTAATTAGTCGGAACGCAGCTTCATATGGAGGAAACACAGGCCTCGGTACTTGGAAGCAAAAGTGGCTGCATGGGAGCAACCTGAGCATCCTGCACAGCTCAAGGGTTTGAAGATCTCGCGCGAATCTTTCTTGCAGTACGTTTACATGAATGAAGGCATGGGTGCCTGTATGCACAACAAATGCATCTGTCTTTCACCCGTTCGTCTGTTGTGTTCGTATGAACGACTAGCTACTACAACACCCATCCACCGAAGCAAAACACGAGTTTGGACGCTGCATTCTGTAGTCAGTGCCGAAAGCTTCAAAAACCTGGCGAAACATCGAGGACGCCGGTGATTCCGTGCCATGTCTCACTCAATGTGTTTTCGCCACGAGTCCCCAAACTATCCCCAAGGAGACACTTGTTTCTGTTGTTGCATTGCTGCAACTGCCGGCTCACCGACACCTACAGAGCGTTGACCCTCGAAGCCAACTGCCCGCTACCGCAGGACTGCCAAGCCTGTGTCATGCTTCCGGCACCCGGCACCAACCAACCAAAAGTCTGCATAACGGCGATCATGCTGACCGAGACAATGTTTGTGCCAGGACAGGACATAGAGACAGTCAGCAAACGCCAAATACCACGCTTCCGGCTTCAATGCAGAGCCCAAGCAATGCAGCTGCTGTCGACGTTCGAGTCACAGCAGCAGATGCTCCGCGGTAAATGAGACTGACAACCAGTGTTCGTACTGCCAACATGCCTACTCATACCATACAGACACCGTCCAAACGACAAAGAAACAAGCCCTGCTACATCTCCGAAATGCGCTGAGATGTGAAAGCAGAAGCGATGTGCGACACAGAGACACGCTGCAGGGGCCTTTCAATTCGAGCAACATGACATAAGGATAAAGGACATGCCTGGGGGGCCATGGGCTGGGAGATGCTGGGAGGTCTTCGGAAATGCGTTGCGGAAATACACATAGAGAATGATACTTGATGTGGGGCCCGGGGTGCATAAGCGTATTTCAAACACCTGACGGTCTTGCTGAAAACCGGAAAAACTTGTGCGGAGAAGGTGAACACCATGTCTGCACGTGTTTCCATTTCGAAACCAAGTCTTTCAGAAGCTCAGATCACGAGTGTTTCAGGATCGATTCGCCAGATAACTATACCAGTCATGAGTTAACATCCACGCATAGTGCATGTGTGCGGGTAGACTGGCAAGCATGTGGGCGGGCTGCTTGAATGTTAGCCAGTCGCTTGCGTTGCTCTTGCTCTGCAAGCTCAGTTCCGCAAGGCCTCGGCTTCTGCGTCCTTCAAGAGAAAATCGACAGGCAGCTCGCTCAATTCCTGCGAGTGGGAGTGGGAGGAGGGGAAGGAGAGCGAAGCAGCGAAGACAGCAGTAGTAAGCAACCAGAACAACCTTTGCAAGATCACCTATCCGGTTGCCGGTTGCCATTTCATAGCCGAAGCCAGAAGCAACATGGGCTAATTTGCATTTAGACGAGCACTGATAACCACGCATCTATACATCCATCGTCTGCAAGCGCATCTGCAGGTACGTCACTAAGCATCCGGCATGATCTCTCTCTCTCTCTCTCTGTATGGTGTGTTTGCCCGGGTCCCACAGCTACTGTCTTCACAATGCAGCTCCATGGACCAAGAGCAGAGCCAGGTTTGGACAACATGCAATGAAGGATGGAATGTTATGGAGGCCTACGAGCGCCGGCAGGAAGTGGAAATGGAATTGGAGTGAGCAGCAATCAGAACTGAGTGCAGGAGCCACCACCGTAGAAGAGCCCATGCAGCGCAACGGTAACACTATCGGACCCAGACAAAGCTCTCCCGTTGTGCCCAAAACAAGCTACGATTCTAGATGGCATATCCAACCTGATCAGTTCGACATACCTGCTGAAGGCATTCAGACTAGACGATGGGCAGCTTGCGACACCAAGATTTGGAGGTTCTTCACATGTATGGTTGCAACCATCTGACCAAACATGCAGCAGTAGCTTTTGTTCATCTTGGGCCGGTTTAGTTTAGAAATCAGCTCAGACCAAGCATCTCCTTCTTTGAAGGTGCATTTGTCAGTGGAGGCGGGCGGGCGGGCCCGCCTGCTCCGTCCTCTCGATTCTAGCTTGGGCGGGGTCTCTCCGCAAGCAAACAGCGACGGAGCACTTGGTTCTTGGAGGTTCTTGGTCGCCCCCATCACTGAGGCTGCCCCCCCCCCCCCCGGTGCATTGGTGGCAGGCCGCGTGGGCGGCGTGTAAGTGGTGTGTTGCTTGTTTGGCATTCGCCTTGTGCCATTGTTGGCGGCTGCTGGTTGACTGGAGGCAGGTATGTATACGTGTGAGCTCCATTGGTCTTTGGCGTAGTGGTCGTCGGGACTGCGTGGCGGTTGGACTGCATTGGGCACCCGCTGGTGCGGTAGGCTGCAGCTGTGGCTGGCGCTCCGCTGGTGCTGTCGGCTGGCTTGTCTTCGCTGCACGGCTGCCGTCCATGGGCTCAGGCGGCTGCTGCTGTTGCTGTGGCTGTGCGTGGCTTCCAAGTGCAGGGTCATCCCCGTGCGTTGCGGGGCGGCTGTGTTGCTGGGGCTGGGAGCCACTGGTGCGTTTGGGCCACAGGTCATCGTTGTGGGGAGCGGCGGCAGTGGACCCCCTGTCTGGACTGTGCTGGCAGTCTGCGGCGTGGTGCTGCGCTCCTTTCTGGTGGCGTCGCGGCTCTGGGCTTAACTGTAACTGGGTGTGTACCCCGGCCAAAGGCGACAGTCTAGCCGCCGCGTATGTTGGCGCCGAGCTCCACGCTGTGCATCCACTCCTTTCAACTATTTCACGGATATGTTGGCCAGCTGGGTGCATTGCAGCGGTCTGCGCGCGTCTCCCTCCTCTCCTCGGCTTCTCCTGCTGGAGGCTCCGTATCCACGGCAACCTGCATCTCCCCATGCTTTGCTCTTGCCATGTGCCAATGTTGTGCTGCAGCGGCAATTACTCGCCCCAGTCCCCGGCAGGCATTATGTGACGGGTTTGTCAGGCGGGGTGCTGCCCCCCGGGCCAAAGTTTAGCATAAACCACTTTTTCCGTGAGGGGTGCGGGTGCACAAATCAGCCTGGCGTGCATGTGGCAACGTGATGTTTGCCCCCGATCGTGTTGGGATTTATGAACAGACCATGCCGCCCCAGGCTTTTGTCCAGCACGCCCACAAGCCATCCGTCCGCCAAGTTATGCCTGAGCAGCAGCTCTTGCATGCCCACTGGGATAACGCCCTCGCCGCCTTCCTAGCTGGGCGTTGCTAGCTGGGCGAACCACCTAAGGACGGCCGAACAGAAGGTCATGGGCCGGGCGTCCCCCTAGAACATGAGATCCTCCAATTTTGCCTTTTCCCGATCCTATTCCCGGTTTCCAGGCGTAGCTTCTGTTTGCCACATGTGGCCCACCGTCTAATCCGAGTCACGCTAAACCGCTAAACCCTGCGCTCTGAATTAATTAACCCACACGCTGAGCCCTAAACCCTACAGCCCGAATGAAACCCAACTACGATTCACAGTTAAACGTTCATTGCCTGGTTCACATCTACAGCTGCAAACCCCCAAGCCCCGAAGCACCAAAGCCTAAACTCCCAAAACAAAGGTAAGGTTCCTCAAATATAGGATGCCCCCGTAAGGCTGTAAGGTATTAGAAATCAATACCACTGGAATGCGCCAGTACTTTGTACGAAATGCATACTGTAATACAGAAATACATGATCACATACGAGAGAAGTGCAACTTCTACACCGTGCATATAGCCCCGTGCCACGAGCTACACCTTTTGCGCATAAATCCCTGGTGGGCAACTTTGTGTTTGAGTACAGCAATATCTTTTTGGCCGTGGGAAATACAAGGATTCTGCACTTAGTCACAACCATGTAGAAACAGCCGCTGCAACGCCAAGAGCAAGACGGCAATAATATTGCATAGTTGACTACATGTACACAAGCATAGGAGCAATGCGTCAGATACAAATGGATATCAAATATCAAGTATACAGTGCCGCCACTTACGCAGACCAATGCTGACCCTATGACCTCTGTACACAGATGTATAGACACGCATATAGGCACATTCCAGATAGCATTGAATATACCCGCGGAGTCTTATAAAACCTTATACAGAAAATGTCTAGAACCAAACGCTTTTGCAAACCTACATACATCTGTAATGTTAGTATTGATGTGCTTGCTTGGTTACATAAAATGCATATCTATATAGGAATGTTTGCATGCATGTCGCGCGTGAGATCTGGTGATAAACACACTCATGATGCGACAGGAAGAAGCTCGCATTTGGGGAAGCGAGGACGACTAAGACGAGACAAACCATGACAAAACACAAAGACACAAGAAGCTGCCAAAATGATGCAGGGCTGCCACACACCCCTCCCCCCCCCTCATGTCATTGTGGTGGGTCCTGTGGTGGTACCCCTTCCCCCCGCATCCCCGCCCTGCCTCTTTGGTTTCGTTGTTGTTGTGGGCTCTGCGACCCCCAGGCTTTGGTTGGCCTGAATTGGAGTACGCAACACGTGTAACACAAGGACCTCTTGTCACAATTGGTGACTGAGCTACTGTTACGCGGAACTTTAAGAGCTCTTGTTCTAATCTTCGCCACCACCGTTCATGTCTACAATTGCATCTACTATGGTCGTGTGGCCCGCATCCGCCGTTCTTGAAGTTCTTATGTGCTACTCTCTAAATTATGTGTTACTCTTTACCTTCCTTCTTGCTGTGGCACCGGTGATACTGCTCCTGATGTTGTGCTGCTCTAGCCGGCGACGCGAGTCGACAATAGATCATCTTTGACATCATTCTCAACATCATCATTGTCACATTGTCGTCGTCATCTTCATCATCAGCACCATCAAAAGAATAGCTGCCGCCATCACCATCACCATACAACCCTCATAATTAAGCATTGTACTACGGCGCAAATTGCCGCATTCCGCGCAGGGCAGGGATGGGGTACAATAGGGGGTGAAGTTGGGGAAAGCGCGGCACCCCCAATCCGCGCAGCAGGTGGGGCGACACCTCCCAAGCCGCGCACCAACAAAGCCAGGGGTGGGTAGCGGTGGGGATACCATGGAGGAAGGGGGGGTTGTAGGCGCCCGGGGCCCGAGAGCATATATGATATATGCATATGTACCATGGACGGCTCTCATTGCAATCTCATGTGCCGCCGCCTCAATGTGTTGGATTCCTTGTGTTTTGACTCGGCGTGCGTGCTTACTTTAATAGCCTCTGTTGCATAATTTGGTGCCAATTACGGGTTGCCGCAATACTATATAAAGATACACGTAGGGTCCATGCACCTACGAGCAATGCTTTTGTGGGGATTTTTTAAGGGTTCTATCAGGGTTCTTGGCAGAATTTATCAGGGTTCTACACTGGATGTAGAAGGCATCTGTAGAGATCAATAAGGGTTCTATAGGCGACTTCTAAGGCTTCTGTAAGAAACCTATATAGTCTATACTTTGGATGTACAATGGTTGCTGAAAGGCAACTTTAGGTTAATGTATGTTTAGGAGTTTCATAAGGCCAGGGGCCTCAATATAGAAGCCCCAAGTAGTAGGATCCTTATCATAAGGACCCCTCTAAAAATGGTGCGATAACATTTCAAGAAACCTCCAATTGGTTCTATGACGGCTTCTCACCAATAAAACCATATGCCTACCGTGAGGACCCTGTCGGTCGCGTTCCTGAAGCTATGAAGGCTACTGTCAAGTCTTACCTGAAAACCTTGGTCTGTGGGGGGGGTAGCACCCCCCCCCCCCCCTGAGATCAAGATTCCCCCCAGTCTACGGTCTTTGCAAATGTTGGGGATTTTGGGGGGCATGGTACTACTCCCAATTCCCTCCGCACCTTCGCATTAACCAAGCATTCCCCTTTAATCGGTGAGATCTTCAATCCGGGATGCGTCGCGGCCCGGGCAGTGGGCCAATTCGGGCATTTCCGCCCAAAAAAGGTGGATAACACGCAGGGTTTGCATATATAATCTATATATATATATATATTATATATATATATGCCAATGTGGCAACGTGCACTCCTGCAAACAGCGAGCGGCAGCTGCTGCGTCTTGTGCAGCTTGTTCAGCCTTGGTTCAGTCCATTCCGCTTTTGGCTTTTGAGCCTTGTAGTGCTCCTTTACACTTATCAGGACGTACGCGCTGAAGAAGCACTAAACACACAGATAGGTCATACTACTATGGGGTCACTACTATGGTAGCTGTATAAACCCAAATGAATCCCAAAATCTTGACGGCAGAACATACCGGTCAGTCAAATTGTCTAGTGAAGTGAGATCCTGCCGCAGAAAGGGCTGTCTGGCTTGCTCTTCGTCTTACAACAGATACTGTCGAATTCAGTTCAGGACATCCCACTTGCGGTTGGCAGCTGCTGCGGTTGGCAGCTGCGTTGTTGAGGCAGGCTTTTCGGCCGCATTGTGAATTCTGGTGATTCTGTGTATTTCGGTGGCAGCAGCCGGTACCCTGAATCGGAGAATAGGTGGACTTTGCACCAAGAGGCTTCTGCCGCAAAGGCTTCAGCTTCGAGCGCTGCAGCTTCCGCAGCAGCCGCCAAGTCTTCCTCACCTGGCTGAAGATGCGGTCACGTGCAGAGGGCAGAGCACTCGCGTTCGACCCTCTGCTTGCATCAGCATGTCCCTCGCAGGTGAAGACTGACTTGGTGAAGAGGCCTTCGGGAAGAAAAAGCTCATCGAGGAAGGCCCACAGCCATCGCTCGGACACTGAGCCGCGAGCCGCTCCCAGCAAGAAGTCAACCGGCGGTAAGCTTTCTCGACCGGCAGATCCCTCGAGAGCCTCGCAAGACGGCGAGAGTCGCTTTTTTTTGCAGGCAACCACGCATCATCACCCACCTCTATCTGCCCTGTAGAAGTCTTGGGATCACGTTGCGGTGAGCAAGCCTCTCTCCAACAGCGACGCTGTAGCCAATCTGCGCATGTCTACGCAAGGATCCGTTTTCCGCCTCTGCTTGGATCTGAGCCAACGCGGCTTGCCCCATGGCGGCCAGCGAGGCTAGATCCTACTCCAAAGGGCCATGTCAAGCATTTGAAAGTCACATGCTGAACGTTTTGCAGCCGAAACACTTCCGCACTTGGCGCCCCGAAATCATCATCACGGACATCGACCTCCTTGCGTTTAGCGGATGATGTAGGTTCCGGACCTTGGCATGAAGAGAGGTGCGTCTACCGGCGCAAAGTTCGTCAAGTTCTCCCGACTACTGCCGAATTTAATTGATGCTCCGTCTGTGCTCTGCGGCTTGCAGTAACTAGATCTTCGCAGCGTGGCTTGAAATCAGTATAGCCTGCTCTCGACCGTGGGCAGTACTGACACTCCAGTACAAAACAACGTGGCTCAGGCAGCGTCTCAGTGTGATGAGATCCAGAGGAGCCACATGCCGCCGGCCTTCTTCCAAACTCGCCTCGACCTGAAAGCAGACAACGGCCATTTGATCGTTGCCAGAGAGAGAAGCAAGCCTCCATCTCCGGCAGCTCCTCCATGAGCACATCGAGCCTCCGTTCCGGCACCCGTGGCTGACCCGCACTCAGACTCATTCAGAAGCCACCTTCAGCACTGAGCCCGGCTCCCAGCAGCCCCAAAGTCCACGGGCTGCACCTCGATGTGACCAGCTTTGCCGCCAGCTTTCTGCATGCCATGTCATGCCATGCCGGACCTTCTCTAGGTTCCGCAATGTCACGGCCTGCCCAAAGCCCCGACTCTTCAAGTGCCGGCACACCAAGGGCGAAAGGGAAGCGCAACCGGTCATGATTCCAGATGTCTCTCTTGAAGGCTACCAAAGCTACCAGTTTCAGGGTCGAGGCTGCTGCTGAAGCAGCCAATGTGGGGACGGTCGGCAAGCCTGAACCTGGCATCCGGCTCAGGCTCAACGAATGCTCACGGCCAGGACACCAGATGGGAGCTCACCGGAAGAGATGCTGGTTTGAAGCGACGTGCGCACCTGCCACCAGCATGTGCCTCTGGCGATAGACTCGGGTTGCCTACATTGGCCTCGTCGGCTTTGCTCTCGAGGTCTTCCGCCTGCCGCGAATTTTCAAGTATTTTCCTTCTTACCATCAAGCCGAGAGTTCATCCTCTTGCGCCTGTCTTAGCAAGATCCTCAAGATGCCCAGCATCAGATGACCTTCATGGCTTCAGTTGTGTGACTCTATGTGACAATGAAAAACCACGAGGCAACAGAACGACGTCCCGCAGCGAGATGCCGAGCTAAAGTTAAAGCATCTCGACGGTTGCGCAATGCACGCAGACGTGTCAATGTTTCCGTTCACCCACCGGCCAGAATCGGTCAAACATCATGTCCACGGTCGGTTCAGTTGTCCTTCAGCCTGTGCTCGCTTGCTGAATGGAGCACTTGCCATCACGAAGCTGGAGAATATAAACATGTCAACGGCTGCATAACAACCTTGTGTGAAAGCATTTTCCGCGACCAACGCCTTACTTATACAAGCGCATCGGCAAGATCAATGCGTAAGTTGGCTGCTTTGAGAACGCGGACATGTCGGCATCAGAAATGTGACTCACCCCCGTGCTCACGTCTAGGTGCCCTTACGCAATCTGGCATCACTGCACATCCCCCTGCAGCGCTTCGCCGTCCCCCCCTAATGTCAGAAACCAGGGTGGGCCAGGAGGGGAAACAACTCTGAAGTCACGACTCCTTTGGCCTGAGGAGCCAATGGTCGTCGATGCATGTCATGCCTGTCACTATGCCTGTTAATGTCCGCTGCACCAAACCAGAGTACAACAGTACAGCAAGGCAGCATGCAAATCCAAAGGGGCAAGTCCCCAGCAATGTGAGTGATGCAGAAGTCAACGCTGCAGTTTTCAGTGAGGCGAACGACTGCGAATAGAATAACGGTCAGAAGTCTGATCCGTTTTGCTTTGGGACGCAGATGCCGACAAGCTTTCGTACACACAAACATCTGCACGTCTGCATGCCGCGGGTCGAAGCCGAGATTTCGTTGGGAGGTTTGGTATGTAGGTTTGTAGTACTAGCCATCCTCTGTCCGACCTTTTGCATCTGTTCCATCCTCCGGCGCTCCACACCCTCTGACAGCGGCCCCCAATACCAATCACAAACGGCAGAAGACGTTTCATGTATGCCAGCTATCAACGGTGCTTCCTCAAAGATTTCTGATGTCTACTCGTCGACATCCTTACTACTGACCGTAGTCTGATTGAATTTTGCTGCCTCCCAACAGAAGTAAGGAGAGAGAGACAGGAGGCAAGTCCACACTGCAAGGCTTGGACGACCGGCCTAGGCACCTGAGCGGAACCACACCTGAAACAGCCATGCACGTGTCTTCCAGGCTGCACTAAAGGACCAGGGCCCCGGCTTAGGTTCTCGAGCAAAAAATCGCAGGTGCTTCTGACATCCGTGCTCCTAAAAGGCAATCTCCAGGGTCAAAGCATCTTCTGAGTGACTTCTTTAAACTGGGTGGATGACAAGTAGTCCTGGCCTCAGCATGAGGGCTGGAGCTATGGGACATGCAAGGCTCGTCCTATTCGCACGGGGCAGCGGCGCTTCAGCCTGCGCTCGTAATGGCACGCCACCCATGCCTCGCACAGGATTCTTGTGAGGGCGTGCGATAGCTTAACCTCTTCGCAACTTCCCCACAGCCTTCCATAGAAAGCCTCCTTGTTTCACGAGAGAGACCTGATTGATGATGCCGCACCAGTTTGTAAGGCCTTCGATCAAGGAACCTGTCTAGCATGTACCGAGGTCAAGGCAAAGTCCATGGTACCTGCACCCGAATCAACGAAGTCAGTCACCGGGCATCCCTTCTGCAGATAGATTGGCCTGTATCTCCATACAATGCAGCCAGAAATGGCAGGCAAGGATGATATACAACTGCTGTCGTCTTGTTTTCCCAACTTCAGGCAATGCTGGTGTGCACATGACATGATTATCCGATGCACTTTTGCGCTGGCGACGCGGATGGTAAAGCAAAAAACTTCAGGTGGCGTCGGCCATGTCGTCCCGAATGCGGAGCCGAAACAGCGGTAAGGACATGCTGGCAAATAGCGTGGAATAACCTCTTATGTAATACCTCGGCGTGCCATCCTACAGCGAAAGCGAGTGTTCAGAGAGTGTTGAACAAATGTGTTCTGCAAAACTTGGCAGCATGCTTTCGATCCAGTAGGTCCATGACATCCTGCATCGATTTCTACTAAGTGAGCTTTGAGGCTCCAGAGATCTCCGGAGTCTGCGCTCCTGTGGGTTGACCGTGGGCCCCTTCTGCGCCAGAAGCAGCTGGGCCTGCGAAGGCTGACTCTCCCTTGCGATCCCTTGCGGCTAAGGGCCCCGTGCTTCGCATGAATATTCAAAGGAAGACCCCGACCAGGAGAAGTTTTGCTTGGTCTGCCCTCATGCTGTCTCCTGGGTCCCCGGTGCTGGCCCGAATGCTCCAGTGCCTCTTTCAACCCGGCGCTCGGAGCAAAACTTTGAGCCTGCAGTAAAGCATGCGCAGTAAACAACTAGTCAGCAGATTGATACGGATAGTAAACAGTCCGAAAGCTCGCGAATGCTTAAAAGCTTTGCAGCTCAAACCGGCCTGCTTTAGCCAATTGTTTGTCTCGACAACCTGCTTGCGCACCAGATAACCTCGTCAAGATTGCCAAGGAACGCAGGTCTGAAAATGTCTGAAGCCACGCCGGCGACCTTTAGCGATGCTTTGGCAAACCTCTGCCATTGACACCTAGGACTGCCGACGTGCCGTGAATGCATGAAGCCTTCTCGCAAGTCAGCGGAAAGCCCAAGTCGCATCGCTTGGCAATCGCAAACTCGTGAGCCAGCGCTCATCCGCTGACCCGGCTTGAAGCTGCAGCTCCTGTGCTCAAAACTCCGGCCACTGCGCTGCAGAGCAGACTATTGAAATGCAACGGAGTCACACTAAGCACCAAGAGGCCTATGCAGCGTTGTATGTTAAGGGGCGATTTGCCTAATGCACGCAGTGGGTAAGCTGCCCCAAGAGGGTAAAAACCACAAACCACATCTTGGGCTGGAGAACGGCAGAGACGACCCGCTTTACAGAATATTGCGGGACGCGATGGAACATGTCTTTGCCCGTCCGCAAGCAAGTACCAGGCATCCATGTGCAAAGGGACGAATCCTTGGCCAAAATGTCATTGAAGTGCATCCAACGATAAGTCCGTAGTTAAGTGTTGTTAGGCTGGGCGCAACACGCAGCAAGCCTTCACAGCACTGCCTGATTCAGCAGCTTGTTGCAACGGCATGCACAGCTCCGGGCACGGCACGGTGTCCAGGTGGCAGCAACAGCAGCAAGCCTGCACGATTCATCTTTTCGCAGTTTGTACCTCTGCAGCTGGGCGATGCTTCTCTGTGGAACAGCTGCAGGTGGCCCAGATAGAAATGGGCAAGGGGCACTTGACCAGCGCAAGCCATCGAATGGCATCCAAGTCTGTCCTGTCCACCCTGGCAGCCAGTGATGTCACAATGTTTGCTGAATGCACGCTGAGACATGGTGCTTGCAATGTCGCTGAGGCACATCACAGCAACTTTCGGTGAAGGAGTTATAGCTGATGCCGCGCTACCCATCTCTTCAAGGGTGCATTGCACATCCATCTCTGCACGCAGCAGAGGGAGCTTAGCATGCCGAGGCCAGACTGCTACGACATTGAAGTTCAACATCGTTTGGCGCAGACGTGGCATGGCCGAGGCCCATGGCACAACACTTTTGAAGCAGCACCGTGTCAGGCAGAGACTGGACTTGCTGACCATTTGCTAGGTACGAACGCGGCGAGGCCGTACTAGTTCTCAAAGATTGCAAGTTGTCGATCTGAACCCTCCCAGGGGCCTCTCCCCTGCAGGAGCAGGCAACCGATTAAGAGCAACGTCCGGCAATGCGTTCTGAACCCACCAGCAGCCAAAGTATCAGTTTACTCCCTTTCGCCCGCCCGCCGCCCCCCCCCCCCGGCTCGCCCCCTCGCGTTTCAGCGTCTCCAAGAGGGGTCTGTATTGTAGTTGGCCCGTGTGCCAGAAAACATCTGTTTGGCATAGGCGCACTCTTGGAACAGTGACAGGAACAAGGAGCCCTAGATAGCCCAAGCCACTCGCAGATTCGGGTGAACAGACGCTCCGCTTCATGCCAATTGGACTGCCGATACCTTCCGGAGGCCGGGCTGACTTGTGTCGCTCTCTTCCTCTCTCCCTGGACCATCTGAGCGCACGCTAGCTGGCCCAACTCCATCAGGGAAGGCAGGTGGTTCGGCTCCAGCTCCAATCCACGCGAAAAGCACTGCGCAGCCTCAATTTCGCCAGGCAATCGAAGCCTAGTCGTGGCACTTGGGCTACTCCGGATATCTCCGGATTGTCTTTCGTCTCCACAGCGCGCCTTCTGCTGCTCCCCAACACGAGCATATTCCTCCCCGAGAAAATGCATCACCTCGAAATGCAGCACGGAATGTTCAAAATTCATCGGAATCTATGTCCCAGACTTCCGGATGCGGGTGAGAATGCGCAGCGGACTCCGCAAGCGAGATAGCTCGTTCGTGATCCTGGGGCCCGGCTGCACGGCTGTGGTACAGTTCACTAAAGCTGTGAGCTGGCATGCAAGCAAGTCGGACGCGCTCGCTCCTCAAGCTCTCGGCAGGCCTTTGCTCCGTATGACCGCGCCTCAAAAGAAGGAAGCGCCCATTCCGCTTGTCTGGCTTGCTCTCCGATGGCACAGTTGGCCTCGACAGCTCTGTGGTCATTGTCGGGAACCCGGTCAAACTCGATTACTGCTTGTCGATACCTGTCATGCAGGTAGCAGCTTCGGACTGACAGCACCCTGCAAACTGGCTAAATGGGAGGCAGAGCAACAAAATCTATGCGAGCGCACTGCTTCAGGAGGAAGTAGTCCTCGTATTCTGACAACTCTCTGACAGAGCTCTGCTGTACTTGGCTGCGACAATTCATTTTGCCTTGCCCAGTGCGAAATGAACATCTGGGCGTCCTGGCGCCAGGGTCTGAAAAGGTGACTCTGTAAGGACAAGGCCGACAGGGCAAGGCTTTCCAACAGCGCCTGGACACAGGGATTCTAGGATGTGCTTGTAGATCTGCGCCGCCTTCCCGTACCTGAAGCATGTTGCGGTTTGCTTGTCAGAGCTCCAGGACTTGCCTCCAGGGCTCACTGCTTGGTTGCCTCATAGCACTGGGCCAGAGATATGTGCCCGTCAGGGCTGTTTGGCTGAGTCCTCTTGCTACAGACCACCACTGCATGTATGACCTGTATTGCAGACGGCTGCCATTAGCTTAGTCAATGCAGTCCTTACAAGCGTCTGGAGCTGCTGGATAGCACCTAACGACCGCAGGCCCTTGTGTGCCTGTGTGCAGTTGCAGCATTGCACACATCCGCCTTCAAAATCCTGAGAAGTCTTCAGGATGTCACCCAGAAGCCACAAGGCCTGCAACGTCACAGTCATCTCAGCAAGAACAAAGCAAGTAAGTGTCCCTCATAGGCATGGAACAAATTCTTGCCTTGGGGTGCGTGGGATCAAGCTCCAAGACCTGCATGAAGAGCTCCCGTGCATGTGGATATCTCCTGCCAATGCATGCTGTAAGTACGGGAAAGGCAGCCAGAAGAACGTGGCAGAGGCGTGCATGCGCTTTTGATTCCAATTTCGTCCGTTTGTCAAGGTGGTGAATGCTGGGCAAGACTAGCCAGCTGCACTGCCGCTTTCGCTCCACCCATGCCAAGGAGAACAGAGTTTCGACCTCGTTGGCGGTGACTTCTGGAGTCAGCACGACATTGCTCCAGATCAAACGGGTGCGGGGCATCTTTCGGATCCTGTCTGTGAGCTTTCTCGTACCTCGACAAGCATGTTCAATCTCTTTGCTCACGACATACCTCGACGACTCTGTGCTTACATGCCCTTGCGAACCACTCATAGGCGCCGTTGTAATCCTGGCGCTTGGCATACACAAGCCCGATGTTATTCAGGATCTGCACCTCAGCTGAGCAGTTGGTGCATTGCAACGCGAAGCCACACATACAAGCACGAGTGCTGCACACTTGCGGGCTCGTAGGCCAAAGCTTGCTTGAATCGTCGAATTGCCTGCCGCCGCGACAGCGCTTGATGTGGTGACATCTTGGTATCCCATCTTTGCGGCAAGCCTCGTCGTAGTGACCACTGCTCAGCAGTTTCACCCCGTGAGCATTTTCCTTCGAAGCTGCTGCTAGACAACAGTTCTGAAGTTGGCAAGCACTCTGTACATCAACACTCCTTGCTGTAGAGGCCCCTGGCCCCTGCTTCTGATGCGTGTTTATTCTCTTCTCGCTCCAAACACTGTCGGCACACTGTCGGCACTGCGGTAGGCTGAATCTCTTCACGATGTATACTGTATACTGTGTCGGACTTCTTTTCAAGATGGTCGGTACGCTGCATGCTCGACATGCAGACTGCGGGAGTTCGGTGGTCCTAAGACTTCGAACTTGGAACAGTCTCCAATGATGCCGTGCAGACAACCCTCCAGGCGATCGCGTCTGTGGAAAGACGTCTCTCGCATCGCAGTTACAGAACGCAGTCAGTCAGCAATGGAAGTCGCATGGAGGGACTGCATCGGCAATTGCAAACCAAGGCACCTCTGGACCCACAGGAAACCGATTGGCTACTATATAGCAATTGAACTGGGGCGAGCTTGATGGTAAAGCGTCCACTGGAATTGGGTCCCTCGAAGCTGGACTCCCTCCAACACAACGCACCTGCGACGAAAGAATCTCGTGAGCAGTTCCAACAACTAGTGCAAGTCAGGTTGGAATCTGAGGCACACGAAAAATCAGATAACTGTCGTGGTTTGTCCTTGCTCGGACAAAAGTGTCTGCTACGTCAGTTTCACTACAGAAAGGATCACGGGGGTCGAATGTACATAAACAGACCAATGTGTGCACGGCATGCATGTGGCCAGCGAGGAACCTGGAATGATAATGCACGGACAGTGAGCTCCTGCGCTGCCTCGCTGTCATCTCTGTTGACGCCTTGGGATCTGCGGTGTAGTGTGGCAGTGGCAGCGGAACCGATTAAGGTGCGCCTCTGCTGTTGCTGCTGCTGCTGCCTCCAGGCTTTAGAGAACATCACCTTTTATTTAGGCTCTGCCTCCGTCGAGTGGCGTCTGGAACAAGAACTCTTTCATCCGCTCCCTACCACCCCGTCTTGCATGAAGTATCACACCCGCCGGAATCCGCCATGTCTGGCCGCCTCTCCCACGCCTTTAACAACTCGCATGACTTGCGTCTTGCGGCCTTGCACCTGCTTTCTGCATACCCGGCTTGCCGGGTTGCCGAGGCGGGAGCGTTCAAGCATTTAATTTCTCCGTGTGCCTCCAACGGCTTCAACAGAAGCAAGGCGCGGCGCTCTGCCCTTGACGGCCAGGATGCACAGCTTCTGCAATTGTCCACTGCCAAGCAAACTGCCGCACCTGCAGATACCCCTTGGCATCGGATCTGGCAGCTCCTCGTACAGAGAAGGCACTCATGTTCAAGCTCGTTTGCTCAGGTCATGTGCGTGGGTTCTGGCACAAGCGGTGACTGCCGAGGCTGCCGGTCTGGGTCTTGCAATGTCTTTGCAGGGTTGCTGTCCAAGCTGTCATAAAACAGAAATGTAGTTCCGTCGGTTACACAGTGGTGCTCCGCTTCAACCTCTGCTAGCTGGAGACCTCGCTCCACGAGGCTCCAAAGTAGACAAGCAAGCATCGACAGTCGATGGACAGCTGCCAGCATCTCGGGAACAGAAGTTTGCTGCACTCCTGCTGCATCTCCGACCGGCGAGTTCTCAACCTGTCAAAATGTCTCTGATCTGAACTTATCGTGCCTAGAAACGACGAGACCAGCCCCTGACAACACGCCTCTGCCAACGTGGACACATCACTTACCCCTTGCCTGGGTAGGAGAGTGCAATACAAGCAGTCTGTCTGATATCATCTGCAAGAAACACATCTGAGGCCCTTTACCCCATGTGTTGCTCACAGCTCCATGCAGGACAGTATCACTCTTGCCATCAGTTTTGTATCATGACATTACGTAGCAGTTTCTTGCAAAGCTTTCTAGGTTTGTGCCTGACTGCGCACAGAATGGTCTTGTAGGTCCAGGCTGCTCCGGGCTGCCTGTGGGCGTTTTAAAACTGCACATGCCAAAAAAAGGCAGCGGGTGGAGCATGCACCGGGCAAGAACCTGGTCAAAAGCGGGTTACCAGGCTATCGTTGTCTTTCATAGCTTCCGAAGGACCGCGTTGGAAGCTGTTCGAGGAGTTAAACTCATATAAGAATGGATCGGGGTCAACATCATTGCAGTGCATGAGGATGAGGTGGCAAAGGTACGTGTTTTCCAACGGTCTTCGGGATTTGTGTTGGGATTGAAGGTACCATGTCATGGACCGGGATCTGCAAAAAGTATCAATGATCGAACCACGTGCTGGCAGAAAGGCTGCGAATTGTTTTCGGGTGTGATCTTTGCAGCTTTACAGACCAGCTCAGTTTCAGCAGCTTCGCCAGTCATGCCGGAGAATGCGTCGCCAAAATCCCCAACTTGCACGCAAAGGCCGTCAACGATTGCAGCCTGAACAAGCTGCATGTTTCAACAACTAACAACCAGAACAGAATGGCGAAAATCAAGGCCAAGGCGCCTCAAAAGAGCGCAAAGCGTGCTGCTCGCACTCTGGCAGAACCAGCAGGCGGCAAAGTTCTTGCCCGAGTCTGCGACACAAGAGCTCTTCAAATAGAAGAATGGTACGCATCCAATGTTCGCCTTTGCAGGCCTGGACGCGAGTTTGACACTACGTCACAACTGACAGCTGTGCTGACCGATTCACTGCTTATCAACATGGGTATGATTAGATGAGCCTTGGGTCCCAAACGTGCCGACAAGGCTTCGAAATCCTGAACGAAAACATCACGAAACCCCCATGTGGAGGCATTGTTCGGCGAGCTGTTGGAGCTGGAGCCTTCATGGAGCGCAATGAGACCTAACCCCTGCCTGGCCTCTAGTTGTTTTGGGGCATGCACCTTCAGAAACATCTGCAGAGACCGCATGATTCTCTGTCAGACCATGCCTGCATGCCCACGCTGAAACTGACTTCATCCGCGAGAACTCCTCTTGAGGGCATACTATGCAGCAACGCAAGCGAGCCACCCCAGCATTCGGACTGGGTGCAGGCGCTGATGGCCGAGTTGCAGCCTTGGCATCATGGCGATTCTAAACCCGCTCGCGCTGTCTTTCTTGTCTTATAATACCTGACTGCTTCTAAAAGTCTAGAGCTCATGTTTTCTTTCTGCAGCTTCGCCACTCGCTGTGTCGAGCTGCAACGGTTGCGCTTTGTCAAGAAGATGCAGAGCCGGCTCCCAGGGTGAATGCGGGCTTTGCATCCGTGGGGTGCAGGCACTGATCAATGCCCCAAAGCTGGCTCTGTCTTGCGATATCCCGGTCGCTTGCATGGAAGCGGACAGCTCCAGAGCGCATGCCCAGCTCGAGGCTTTGCTGCAGACAGCCAGAAGCGAGTTCTGGGTAATCACGTCCATGCGCACGTGGCAGGAGATTGCGTGCAGCATGGTGTACGCTCTCTGCCAAGACTCGGATGCACGGCTGAAAATGCAGCAGCTCATGGCATCATGCCCCAGAGCTTTGTGCGACATGCTGGAAGCCAAGGTGAAGGACTTTTGCCACAAAAGTGCAGACTGTGTTGCAAGCATGCAGGCTGCGTACGTGATCACATCTCTCTGCACAGATCTACACGGCAGCTGGTGGACCAGTTCGAAGGCCTGCAACCATCTCACCTCAGTAGCCAGCGTATCCATGAAGGAGTTCCAGATCAGCGAATTGGGAGAAGCTTGTCGAAGTTGCATCGCAGACAAGAAGTTCAAGCCCTCCTGCCACGTCCCGGCTGCCAGTGGGATTGCCGAGCCATGGCTAACTATGTCCGGCTCCAAGGCATGTGCACCGAAGGAGTTAAAGTACGACAGGGATGCTTGCCACAGAGGAACGGCATTGATGACAGTGTTGGCGGATATCTGATCCCAGGAGAGTCGCATGGAACCCATTCTCGTCAGCAAAGACACCACGTCCCTCCAACGGCTAAGGCCCGATAGAACACCAAGGTACGAGTTGGCCGTTCGTGCGGACTCGGTAACATGTAGGCCCTTTGTGCCCAGAAGGGCCCGGGCCCACAATCGCGCGCCTCTTTTGCAAACACTGAGAACCTCTGCAAAACTGATAGCATCCGGCTGTAACTCCAAGCTAATGGAAATGCGAAGAAACCAAAACGACAGCTGCCAGCGGCTGCGGGCGGTGCAAGGAGCCAGGAATGACTTGGTGTAGCTTCTGATGTCTGCTCGCATATCTCTCATATGTCCGAGATGCTCCAGAGAACACCGCCAACGGCCACCTTCCATGAACGCTCTGGTGGACACCGCGGCTGTCGTCACGTCGGGAAAAATAATGGAACGGTGCATGGCTCCGATAAGTCGCACTGCCTTCTGCCAACTGCTTCCATCTACAAAGGATCCCGCAGCGGCATTCAAATGCCACACGTTGGTCTCTACGTGGTTTCTCTGCATTCCACGAAGGATGACATCAATCACGCCGCTGCTCCGTGCATCCTGCAGCAGTCTTGTCACTTGACGAGGCTCATTTTGCCACTCGTGGCACAGGCTCTGCAAGGCTTCTTGAACATCCGAGTTTGAAGGATTCGGCCCCAGCCGCAGAATTATGTCAAAAACTTTGTGTCTCTGTTGTGACTGTCTTGGCCGCTTGCCCCGTCTCTGAAATCTAAGATCCGACCTTGCTTCAAGGGCAGCTTGAGGTTTTGGGTGCATCTGCCCGCTGGGCAGAAGCTCATCAGCCTGGCTTTGTGCAGCGACTGGCAGAAGCACTCAAAGTTCGAGGCGTGAGCGGCTTTCATCCCAAGGTGGTGGCGTACTGGTGCACCACTCACAGCAGCAGCAGCAGCAGCAGCAGCAGCAGCAGCAGCACCGAACGAGTGGAGACTGAGCCAGAGCTGATCTGCACAAGGCCTGCGAAGCTGTCACGTCAACCCCTGCAGTCTCCGCTGCCACTGACAAGCTCGACAAGTCGTAACACGGCAAAAGCTTCGTGACCCTCGTGAACCGGTCCTATGCTTGGTCTGCTGGCAACGAATACGAGGTCTTCCGTAGACACCATCTTCTCTACATTGTCTTAACCACAACTTAAGAAGGCCGAGTTGATTCCTATTCATGCACAGATGACGGGGTGTGTGTGTGTGTGTATGTGTATGTAGGCATGCATGCATGTAGGTCTCTATGCAAGCATGCGTATGTGGACCTATAAATACAACTATATTATCTATATTGCGTTCATGTATGTATCTATGTCTGCATGTATGCATGT